ATTTGTCTGAATAGGTATTGTGCACAACCCACTATAACAAAGTGAACTGAATCTACAAGCCTACAGGTTCTGACACCGTTTTACACGAAAATATTCTTTATGGAGTACTAGTACCCACAAGCTTTACAGACAGATTTATACATCTTTTTTTGCTAGAAACAAAATCTACACAGATGGATCACTGGTATATAACTGAAATTGTTTGTTCTCACATTATTGGAAAAACAACAACAACAACAAAAACATATTGTTCATTAATATCATCAGAAAGAATTGATAAACTGCCTTGTTTCTTAATAGCAGATCATTCACTTGCTCTCCTACTGTGTTACAGAAACTACCAAGCTATTGGATTGTGCTCTAGAGAGAGGGAGAAAGAGAGAGATAGGAATTGGTATAAATAATTTATCCTTTATTAATTGGCCAAATGAAGGCAGGGTTTTTGTGTGTGCATGCAAACTAGGGCACTTGCTGTCCTCCAGCTCCATTTTCACACCTTTACAGCAGTTCTTTTTGTAGGAAAAGATGAATTCACTGTCTAGATCACTAGGTCAAAAGGCCATAGTTCAAGGGTAAAAAATGACCACAAAGGCAATGCAATATGGTAGGAGTGAAATGTATTTTGACATTACTTTGCTTTAGCAAGCAATCATGTTCATTTTGCAGTGAAAGATCCACTCTATTGTATGCATAGGTATGGTATGGATTGGTGTACCAGGGCCTTTGATCTCTCAAAAGCTGTGGACCATAAATTACATAGTCACAGATTTTCATGGCCTTTAAATTTACAGTCAGAACTGTGGTGATGGTCCTCAGGTACAATGCCTTTTAAGCTACAACAAACAGTGGTCTTCAGTGTAGCTTTGGCTGTACTTACAATTCTGGCTGTATAGCATGATGCTGAGGTACAAAATATATAAATATACGAAACCTCTAGTGGTTAGCATTAGGGGTGCAATGATACACACAATTCAAAATTTGATTCAATATGTCTCATTATGACACATTTTTTGTAACAGTAAAAATAGGCAGCACCACAAAAATAAATATGGCATTTTCCTGCAAATGTTAGTGCCCAATTTCTCTTTATTTGCTGAGTCTAACATATTGGAAAAAATTAAACATGAAATATAACATGTGCCGTGACTTTTGCACAGCCCACATATTATGTTTTATTTTGTTTCCAATATGTTAAATTCAGTAAATAAACAGTAATTGTGCATTAAAATCTGCAGAAGTGTGTTCTCTGTAGAGGATGTGTACTTAGAAAATCAACAAAATGGCATATGATACAATTGCATGAGCTCATAAGGATTCAGTATGAGCCAATTAGATGAATGCACTTAATAACACACACTATACTTGTTTTCCTCAATTGGTGTGACAGTGACAATATTAGTGCTTGTCTTGACTGTAATTTTGGCTGTACTTATTCATGTTTGCCTGCATGAGAGAGGAATGTAAGCTATGTAACTTATGATATCTGGTAAAAACAAATAAAAATATTGATCACAAAAAAACCCAACATGTAAAAACTGGTGCACCCAGCATCGGTGTACACGACTATAACGTATGACCAGTCAGCAGACGCTCGCTCGCAAGCTTTACTTGTGGATTCAGGCAAGTATAACGTAGTCAGCAAACAGACATGGGTCAGTTCCAATATAAACAGCAGTAGAGAAATGACTACCATAACAGACAAGGGGAAAACAGAGCGAAGTCCAAAAAACAGGTGATGAGTCAAAACCATAAATCCAATAAACCAGGCAAAAGTGCACAGGGACAAATCCAAAAACAGAGTCAGAGAAAACAGAAAGCAGAAGGTCATACACACAATAGATAACAACAGGAAGAAAGCTCAGTAGTTTCTCAAAGGAAAGCAATACCTCACAATCTAAAATACTGTCTATCTGAGTCATGTGACAAATACACAGGTGCACAGTATTAGTATTCAGGTGATCTTGAACGGTGATAGGATGATGAGGATCTCATGTCATGTGGTCATGTGAGCTGGCTGAGGATTCTGGGAAATGGAGTCCGAGTCATTACTGGCCAGTGAAGGAAATAGCTCCGTCTCCTGATTCCCCAGTGTATTCTGGGGAATGTAGTTCATTGGCTGACTAGCCGAATGCGTGACAACGACACAGACAGTTTTGGCTCAGATAAATAAAAGTTTTCTCCTAGAGCATTTTCAATACCTGGCTTTCTAGCCATTTAACAAAATAAATTCTCAGAATTCACAACCTTTTGAATTTGTAAGCTGTTTAGAAAAGAGCCCAGTCATTTGTGTGTGGGTTCATGCATAACATAGGGCTCGCCCCTCCACGCCCACTTTACTCTCATAGGATGCACCCAGATGCCTAGTTTTGATCAATGACAGTGTTGACATGTAATTTTTCTTTATTGTATAGCTTGTAGTCTCTTGATGAGGTTGTGCCCTGCGTAGTTCATGTTAGTGAGTGGGTTTTGACTAATGTCTGGGGAGTGGCCATATCCATATAATTTGTTGTGGTTTAACAGAACAATGGAAGGACAGTGAGGCAAATATTTACTCATGTCAGATTTACCCCTCACTATCCTCTTTAGTTAAGTGCTCTCAGCGCTGACTCTCAAACTGTGCCATTTCTGTGATAGTATGTTTGCGCTAAGTGCGGCTGTTTATATATAACACGAATAATCTGATTGGCTGAGAAGACTGTAATTAATCATCACACCCTCCTCTTTCTGTTCCACTTTCTCCTATTCTTTTCCAGTTGGGTGTAGGCTTGGAAACTGCACGTAGATATTGGACATGCTTCATGGCTTTACACTGATATGGGGTATTGTGATTTGCCTCAGGAAAACAGGGCCCTAACTGAAGCCTGTTGATAAAGTTGTTATCAATGAAGGTCAGGGTTCTTGTATTAACTGTATGTTAAGTTTACTTCCTTTAATAAAGTAGATTTTAAATAGGTTTAAGGCATGCAGAGTGGATTCAAGTCTTTCAGGACATGAGGTGCCATGAGACATACGTCGTATGCTCTGAATTAAACTTGTGAGACTAAAAATTACTTTTGGAACTTAGTTAGCCTTTTTCTTTTGCATATTTAAAATGCACAAGTAAACATCAGATGAAATCAGAGTAAAGGACAGTTTTAAAAGTGTCTCTGTATTAGATGATGTACAGTAATACTTCCACCCTGTTATAATTAGGTGGATCCACCTGGGCTTAGCTGTAACATACACATAGATTAGATGCTTTATTAAACGATAGACTAACATTAACAAAATCAAAACAGCAATGCAGCACTTTAATCCTCTCTAAACAATTCACCTGAACACACACAGTTCAGGGTCAAAGACCCAAACAGGTCTCATGGTGCCAAAATCATGCTGTTCCGAAATAATAATACTGATTAAATAAGGAAAAGCCGCTTGGAGACCAAGGATGTGTTTAAGCTTAATTAGCAGAGGGACCTGTGTAATTAAGTCATCTTTAATTAGGACTGAACTATTAGGAGTGGTGGGGAAAAAGAAATAAATAAAGGGGTGGAATTTGCTAATCTGTTCAAGAGAGACCCTAGTGCAGGTGACTCATTTCATATGGCTCCTGTTTTGTATGATCCATTTTTTAATGTGGTGACTGGCTGCATAATTATTATATGAGGGTAATTATGAAGCTAGCTGGTCTGAGAAAGCTAGTGTAATCCATTCCCATCCAGGAAGTGAGAGCTTGTAAGCCCTAGAGAGAGAGAGAGAGAGAGAGAGACAGAGAGAGAGAGAGAGAGAGAGAGAGAGAGAGAGAGAGAGAGAGAGAGAGAGAGAGAGAGAGAGAGAGAGAGAGAGAGAGAGAGACTCTTCCCTTTTTTATAATTGAGTGCTTTTTTGCTCTCTTTCTGCTTGCAGTTGAGTCTTAAGAAAGAAGTCTCTCCTTCACTTGTATTCAATGTGTTCCCCCTCCCTCTTTTGTTGGAATCTTTCTTGGAGGTCCAGCTGAGCTAATAATGAAAGCACAGCAGGTATACAGTAAGGTGAAAGGTGTTGGGACCTGATTCAATTACACTGTCAGCACAGGGTCACTATATACTGCATGTTGACAGTACCAGTATAGGAAACCCACAGCTTCCACCTATGAAAATGAAATAAATTGTTAGATGTTGTCAGTATATAAACAGAATACATTGTTAATACATTATTTTATGGGAACAGGCCTCCGGAACCATGACTGAGATTCACACTTTTCTGACTGGGACTGAGCAAAATATCTATTTTTTTTCGTAGTATTATTATGACTGCAATTTAAATCCAGGACTGTTTTTTTGGCCAAGAAGACAAGCATCTCATTGCTGTCCAAAATAAGACCAAAAAAAACATGTATCTCCATATTTGGCACTTTTTATTTTTTATTTTTATTTTTCTACATCATTTAAAAAAAAACAACACTGTCTGGAACTTTCAATGAACAACCAATAGAAATGCTCCAAAATCCCTTAGAAAAAAACTAACTTAACTTAAAAGTTAGGAACATATTTGCATTCTCTTGTAAATTCGTTATATTGGAGATGAATGTGTTTTTTAGACAGCAACAATATCCAAATTTTCTGGACTGAGGCTTGAATGCTGAACGCAGTGTGCCAGACAGCCAACAGGGGTTTGGTTGCCTCTGATTTGGTCTAATTTCTCTACAGGCAGTTTGCAAGCTCACTGTTATTAGGTCAGATTTCCCCACTTAAAATGTGTTCAGACATTTTTGTTGATGTTGTAGGCTATAATAAAAATGGTAGCTCTTGTGATTTGAAAATTGCTCTCTTTTAAATTGCAATTTTAATACAAAAACAATAAAGCTTTTATCCCGGTATCTGACCATTTCCAATGTGAGTCTTTAACAATAATTCATTTCACTTTTTTAGGTATTTTGTCTTTCTCCTTCATTCCCACCCCCTCATTCTCTGTCTCTGATCCTATCATTCTGTCAACCCCCCATGAAGTTCCTACACTAATTTCTCTTTTTCTCTCTCCAGCGGGAGATGGGGTTCCGGTACAGAAGGATGGGGAACAGGTAAGCCTGACACAAATAACAACACCATTTCCTCTAAACCAGCCAAATCACTCAACAGCCACGATCCACAGAACTAAACTCTGCTCAGGTGAACGAATTATCCTGATCTTGAGTATCCTAAAATGGTTATCTGTTAGGAAAAGATGCCAGTTTGTCACCCTTGGCTGTTTAGAAAAGAAGTGTGAGCATGTTTGCATATCACACTTCATTAAGTCACAGTGCTGCTCCCACTAGAGCTGGATTTAGTGTGGCTGTTGCAGTAGTTCCTCTAGTTTTTCTTCTGGCCACAATGCTAATGCTTTATGCCTTTATGCAGTCTGATCCAAGGTGTTCCAGCACATGCTAACTATGTCATTTTATAGAGTGACATGGAAACCTGTTTCTGAATCTGGTGCTAAGATCAAACTGTGATTTTAGGATGGTTAGTAAGCTCTTGTTGTGGCATAAGCATCACCATTGCTACATCACATCACAGTCATTCCTCTCTGTTTCTTTCTTCTTTTTCATTGCCTTAGAGCTGCACTTGAAAATTTTGCAAATAGCGCTAAACTTTGGTCACATGCATGCATGTGCATAAGGCATATACACATGCACATACACAATGTTTCATAGTACAAAAGGCTAGCAGTACAATTCAGGCTCTTTTCTGAAATGCAGAGTCAATTGAAGCATACCTAATGACATTCTCTTTGAGATAACACCTTATCAGAGTAATGACATATTCCTCCGTCAACACATCCACTCCAAAATAACAGTAAAAAAGGTACCCTGTAACGAAGTGATAACCCATAGGCTAATGGCTGTTTACAATGTGTTTGAGAGGAAATCAACAGATGCATGATTATATCTTTAAGGAGTAACCAGCACAGACAAATGTGGTGGTTAAAGATAATGAGGAACTGCCTGCTGCTGCATGCAGTCATAAAGAAGAGCCTTATGAGAATGTATCAGTACTTTATCTAAAACCCCTTGCTGTTTGAAAAATGATTGGGGGAGTGTTTGAATATATACAAAAATCTGCAAGCACTTACAAACACCATAAACAAGTCTGTTCTCTGTAGTTTTGGTATACGTAACACTGTAACACTGTTATGACACAGTCATACACCATGTTGCTGTTTGCAATGCAAGCAGTCATTGTTTCTAACTTTCAGATTTCAGTGCTTATGGAGTCAAGCTTTCTGATTTCCAGCAACAATCTATATACAGAACACATAAATGTAGCACCACACCTTAGCAGCTAATAATACCTCCAATCTGCCATCCAGCTCTTGTGCTTTACGTTCAGCTAGATGTTTTGTTCGTGTGCATACTTTGTATAAGAGTACTGCCAGAACAGAACAGCATTTTTCATTAAAACTGCAGTTGAAATCTTAACGGCCTGTATGTGGGCCTGAATGGCAGTCATAACTATATAACTTAGATTTTAGTTTTATAGTAGTTACTAGGGGTGAACTGATCATGAACCTTTATGTCTGATGCCGATTTTGCTTTCTTTTCAACTTTACAATTGGCCAATGCCTGATTTTTTGGCCATTTTTTTGGCCAACTCTCACACTGTGAGAATTTCTATTGCTTTTTATTGGCCAAACTGCATAAATAACATTATTTGCATTTTAAATGGCCAAACATGCATTTTCAATTAATAAAAGAAATATATTTGCCTATTTAAATACCATTAGTGCTACATAGAATACGTATTTAGCACTTACCTGGCTCACATTATTTACAAAAATTGCATGCATCTCTAGAAGTTAACAAATAATTCATAGTAGTTTGCAGTAGTCATTGAATAATACATGAATTATAACATAAAAAATAATTGAATAATAACCAAATAATATGGATAGAGGTCAAGGGGTTCAAGTCTCATCCCAAAAATATCAAAAACCTTTTTTCATTTCGTAACAGACAACTCCAGCCTGGTCTCGGGGAGAGTGTGGTGTTATGAGAAGTGCACTGGTGAATATTTAATGTCACACTGACACAGTTCTCACAAAATCAAAAATGTGTATTATAAGAGCACAAAGATGGCAACTGCAGCCACACTTTAACAGAGAGGTAGCAAATGACAGGAGACAGCATTCCCCTTTAATCAGGTACACAAAGGCTGTTGACTATGCCTGGCCAACCCTTATTATTGGCTCAGGCAGCCTAGCCCTCTGTGAGCATGCAGAGAGGAATAAACAGTGATATGCTGAATTTAGCTATGCCTTCTGCAGAGCCTCAGAGATGGATCTAGGAGTCTGCACAAAGCATTGCTCTGCTTTGTGCAGACTCTTAAATCCATCTCTTATGTTGTTCAGAAAGCCAATGTGCCAACAGGTAAAACATGGCTCCATGAATGAACAGTGTGGATTTTGTGTCCAAATTTTGTGCTGATTCTGGTGTACGGGTCTCTAAGTGAAGGTCGCATGTGCCATTGGTGCCAACCAGCAGCCGTGACCGAGCAGCCCACGCAACGCATGGTTGCATTGACAGCGATGACTGCTCATTGCCTCAGGCAGCCGTAACTTGCCTGCAGTCCTGCAGCTGTGTGTCAGTATCCTGCAGAGCAGTAGCTCTGTGGAGCAGAAAAAAACACACACATACACAGATCTGTAGAGCACAGTACAGCAGACAGCCCTCTAGAGCTCAGTATAAATAGTAGTTTAGCGCTGCTGTTACATATCTCTTAACGTAAATTCTGTAGGGCTGTCAAAATTAACCAATTAAACTCGCTTGATAAAAAAAAAAAATCTCTTGAAATTGACCATGAAAGCAGTGATTAGTTGGCAAATTGAATACTGATAATGCATATTTTACAATCTATCTAACAAACACACTCATTTTCAGTACTATGCAGAAGTCAGAGACCACTTTTTATTTATTTGATTTCCAGTCAAGTGTATGTTGTTCATTTTTTGGGATATATTTTTGAGGGGATTATGTATAAGATGCACAAGGAAGGGGATGTCCAAGGAAAGAGAGAAAAGCAGAGAAAACCAGACTCCTCACAACAGTGCAAGATCTGGTAGACCACCAAAACTGTCACCATCAGATAAACAATACTTACCCCTCCTGTTATCTTTAAATTTACTGAAACCTTTTATCCTTGGGGTGAGTTTGACCCCAGCAATCTATTTTAGATATGTTAAACATAAAATGAGGTCGAATTGACCCCAAAGAGGAGAACTAAAGCTTTCCTCTTTGAGAGAGAGGAGAAAATCAAGCTCCACTTTTGCTTCAGATCTAAAATTAAAAACAGGTGTTTCTGTCTACCCTTCCACTGTGAGAAGACAACTCAACACTGTGAGTCTAAAAGGATGTGTAACTGGTTAAGAAGATGTTAATGAGAAAAGGAGATCTGCAGGCAAAAATGCAAATCAACAAATAAGGTGCTGGTGTTCTCAGAACAATGGACTGACCACTCAAGAGTCCAGACCTTAACATCACTAAAAATATCCCTGCAAATTTCTTTGTAAAACTAAAAGCAAGTCTCCCAAAAGAATAGAGGCTAAAATAAAGGATGGACACTCTAAATACTGAAAAATAATAGTTTAAGTTTTCTGTTAAATTTGTGTTTTTCCTGATGTTGAAAAATTAAACTTTTACTTAATATGTCTGGAAATTAAATAAGTGAAGTGTGTCCTCTGACCTTTGCACAGTGCTGTATATACATTTTTTTTTTTGCCACATTTTGTTTTTATTTATTTTTTGAAGTCTTTTTCTAGTTTATAAAGGATTCTTTGAAAGGCTATGTATGCTTTGTTGTTGCTCACTTATTTTCAACAGTTTGTTTGGCCTTTTCTAAAGTATAAGCTTGTATATATAGGGGAGTGGGTGACATTGTTGCCTGACAGCAAGAAGGGCCTGGGTTCGATTCCCAGGGTCCTTTCTGTGTGGAGTTTTCATGTTTTCACTGTGAGTCCCAAAAGATGTGATGAGGCAAATTGGAGATGCTAACTTGGCCCCCAGGGTTTGAATGTGTATGTATGTGTTTCTGCCCTGTGATGGACTGGTGACCTATCCAGGGTGTTTCCTGTCCTCCACCCAACTTTACAGGAGAAGGAAAAAAACATACTTTACATACTTTAAGTCAGTGGAACCAGACTTTCGTCCAAGTAATTGTTTGGCTGTTTCTTTTGGTCCATTTTTCATACAATTTACACACAATGTAAAGTGCAACAGGCACTTTCAAATTATAAAATATAAACAACAAAAATGGAGATACAAGGTTTTGTTCCAACAGCAGCGAAATGTAACTTAAAGCACAGCATGCATGATGTGAGACCAATACTGACTGGGTGTCTTGATTGCTGGGTGCCACGCAAGCTTTGTTGCTATCTTGTACTGTATGTGACAACAGTAGCAAGCAGGGTGTCTTAGCGACAACCCAGAGTGTGTGCAGCAGAGACTGGCTTTGTCACAGCACAGCTTCATGCAAGGTCTTTTGTTTGTTAGTCTGTCTGTCCTATGTGTCTGTCTTTCCATCTGGGCGATGGGCTCGAAGGCACATGCAAGCTAATTAATAACATTTACTCCAGTGGTTTATGGAAATTAACTGCTTTGACTCAACTGTGTTGCCCTTACTGTAATTAGTAATTCATACCAGTATGTAAGACATACACAGTTAAATTCAGTATGGGCAATTACAGCAGTCGCTTACAGTAAACCATCTGAGTATAATGTGGTTCTGCAGTGTAGTTTTTCATAACTCCACTTCCCTCAGGAACAGCTTTAATTACTGCCAGTATGTTTGTCTGTCTGGGCCAAAACTTTTTTGCATTTTGCGTGTAACCTCGCTAGAGTTTATTTGCAGTGAACAGCATACAGGCAACTATTACAAAGGCTCTGGCATAAAAAGGGAGACTCATTATATCGCTGCATATTTCCATCACTATAAAAAATAGATTCCCAATTTAATTACTTCCTCTCCTCTTCTGGGCTGGCCTATGTTACTCTTCATTTTCTCTCCTGAACAAAGATTCCCTCTCTTCTCCTTTCTTTCTTCTATTTCTCCTTCTTCTTTGCATGTTTTTAAACCTGCCTTCTTCTGTCACAATTCCTCTCTCTTCTGTCTCTTTTCTATTGCTGCCATTCTCGCTGTTTTCTCCTCTTTCTCCATTCCTCTCTTATCCCATTACACTCCCTCTATCTCTCTCTTTCTCTCTTTCCCTCCCTCTCTCTTCCTCTCTTTCTCTCTCTCAGCATGGCCGAACAGACTTTTCATGGGATGGAATCAATGTAAGTGTTGTGATTATCATTCATTCGTTTTCTTTTCCATTCCTTTCTTCACATTCACTTTAGATAGCTTTGTCTTTTCCCTTCACTCCCCAATTCCTTGCCCTGTGGTCTCTCTCTGCAATGTCCTCGCACTGATTTATTGGTGTGCTGCATTAGTTAGATCTAATTGCCAACCCCTGCCTTTCCCAAAAAAAAAACTACACTTCCCAAAATGCAAGAGGACAGACACTGAAGATCAGGCTGTTGGGAAATGTAGTATCTCACATCTTTGTTAAAATAAAGTGCTAACTCTGTATCTACCCCCACTTTTCCCATCTCCTCTGTCTTCTTCATCCCTCTAAATATTCATAAAATTTCACCACACTCAAATTTCCCTTTCCTCTGTGCTGCCGTGCACTTCCTGCTCCCTTACTGTTCCTCTTCCACTACACTTTCCTTCTTTTTTCCCCACCCATCCCCTTTCTTTTCTCTCTCTCTCTCTCTCTCTCTCTCTGGGCTGTCTTTCTTCCCCTCCAGCTCTCCATGGAGGACACGACTTCCATCTTGCCTCGGCTAAAGAAGCGGAATTCCAACGCCTACAGCATTGGCGCTCTGGCTAAGTCCTCTCTGTCAGGTGTGTCAGGTGTGTGTCTGTCCTGTAAACTGGTAACTGACCCCATGTTGGCTCCAGTCTGAGTGGGTGGAGATGGAGCCAACATGGCCCCTTGTGGGTGCCCTTTTCACTCCCTGTTTTCATTGACAATGCTCACCAATGGCTTCTCAAGCCATTGGTGCAATATCAGATATCAGAAGAGATCCATACAGAGAAAGAAAGACACTTACTCACAGCACATTTTTCATACAGTTCGTCATTCTGGGAGTGGCGATGGATGGGAACTGCAGTTGGTTTTTTGTATGTTAAGTGCTTTGTGGAGTGTAGCGTGAAGATCAGTCAGTGTTTTGTGCTGTATTAGTGTCTCTTGTCTCAGATATATTATATTTGTGTCCTTGTAAAACTGTAATGTGTAGTGAAGTGCAGTGCAGTGTTAAGTTCTTTCTGAAATTTCTTTAAAAGCCACTTATTAACATTTAAAGGACCCATATCATAGAATTGAAGAACTGAATTTTCCTCTTTTTTAATAAAAGAGTTTGCTGTAGTATGTTGTTTCAAAACTTACTCTTCTCTCCCCAGTCCATATAGTCCATATATGGAAACTAAGCTGCAAAACCAGCCTATTTTGAACTCACTGTTTTTGTGATGTCACAAAAACCAACACATTTACAGAGATCTGCCTGTTCAACTGACAGCAGTTTAGCTCCGCCCATTCCCACTGAAGTTATAAGCAGTGTTTTAGTCCAGACTGCTTTTTGAATAAGACAGAATACATGACAGCTAATCGGAACAGATCTTATTTTTATATCATCACACATCACTACATCACTCTCAAAGGCACAGTAACAAAAACAGTCAGTTCAATTGTAAGGAATGAAGAGAAGTTGGAAAATGGTCATGTACAATTAATTAAGACCAAGCAAATGTTATCAGTGGAATTCATTACTCGTAACAAGGAAAATACAGGATATGGGCCCTTTAATTCATAATCATCAATTCATTTGACATTATGGAAGGCGAGGTCGTTAGGTCTACTAACACCAGGTTTAGTGTAGAACACTGCATTAACATCATAAAGGAATTCATGAGACCATTTCTCCCCTGAATGTTATGTAAGGGGTTACAGATAGACTGTTCTTTAGTAAGCCAGCAGTAAATTATAGCCTGGGTTCAGCCTTTTACAAGACCTGTGGTAAAAGTGTTAAATAAGGCTAACTGAATGAAAGACAGGAGGAGAGGTCTAAGTGCTGTGTGTAGATACGCATTAATGTGAAGAGTGATCATTCCAACAAGCCATAGTGTCATTCCTCAGACTGCATCCTCATCTTCCACCAATTAACCTTCTACCTTCACCTCCATCTACCTCTGTCAGAGACATAACCACTCCCTTCCCCCGAGTTAATTTGTGCACATTCTCATAACAGCTCTACATTCACCTAATTAATTTACAGCCTCCATTCACTCCAACTCATTTGTACATGTCACATCTATCAAGCTCCCGAGCATGTGTTATTTGCAACTGATCTTTCTCTAAACCACACCAACATCCTGTCTTCCTCCTTCCCTCTCTCTCTCTCTCCAATTCTTTTGTTCTCATCTCTTTCTCTCTCCCTCAATCTCTTTCTCCTCTTACCCATCATTTCATCTTTCCAACCCAGGAGTGACACGGTCCATGAAGGATAAGGTTACAAAGCCGACGGCGATGGCCCAGGGGCGGGTGGCCCACATGATCGAGTGGCAGAACTGGGGCATGCAGACGGTGGGAGCTGGGGGCTCCAGCGGCGGCCGAACATCCACCCTCCACCTCCAGCATGAACGCAAGCTGGAGAACGATGCCTACAGCGACCTCAGTGATGGAGAGAAAGAGGCACGCTTTGCTGCAGGTAAAGAAAGAGATAAAGAGATGGAGAGAAAAGGGTATAAGACATAGATTGTAAAATATGGTGCAAGAGAGTTCAACATTGTATACATAGAATACCAGTCACACCTACTTATAAAGAGTATATATATATATTTTTTTTTTACTATTTTCCACTCTTTAGAATAATAGTGGTGGCATCAAAACTATGAAATAACACCTATTTAATTATGCAGTCATCAAAAAAAGAGTTTTTCAAAGGAGGCCCCCTTTGCGTTAATGCAGCTTTTGACACTCTTGGCACTGTCTCAGCAACTTTTGTGAGGGATGAAGGTCTTGAAGAAGTTTCATACATGTAGACCTTCTTGGCTGCAAAAGACTTTTCGCTATGGAACCATTTGAAAAATACAGTTAAAATGTTTGTTTTGGAAAATGATTCATAGCCTATGTAAGCATCACCTTCACTGTTTATAACTGTCATAGAAGTAAATGTTGAGCTTTTAAGCATAAATAAAGATCAGAATTTTAAGAGTATGAAAAGCATTTAGTTGGGTGTATCCAAACTTTTGACTAGTACTGTATATCACTCTTAATGGTTAAATATGGAGGGTCAATATCTTGGTTCATATATAACCTATAGAAGGTGCTATATAGAGTGCTATATATTGTAGAAGATTTTGTTTTAATTCTATATAGAAATGCTTTTGAATGATATTGTTCTTATGTTATTATTTACATGGGCATTATTGTTAATATCACTGTCATTATTAGTAAAGTTATGTAATAAGAGCTTAGTTATATAGAATTTTATATAAAATCTTACACTTTTGGGAGTTAGCTTTACATATACAAGAATGAATATATGCTATAGTATGATTAGTCCCACCTTTATTAGAGAAATAAAAATGTGTTTTCCATTATACATCAGTCAAGTCAAGTCAAGTCACTTTGTTGACACTGGAGTGCATCTAGTTCATAGGAGGGAAAAATTACTAACATCAAGCTTCTCAGTCTTAAAGACATGTAATACTGCACACCCTGAACACATAACACTCTTTTTTCTCTGTTTTATTTTCCTGACTGGGACAAAATGAATTTCCATTTGTGGACAAGCGAGGCAGTCAAAGCTTAATCTAATCATATGAGCTCTTACAGTGTAAAATAAGCAATCTGCTATTATTTCACATTGCATCAGGTGTTACTATCACCACACACTCTTAACACCCCTTATTCTTCATGTGCTGCTTGCATGAATGGTGTAAATCAGGCTGAATGGATGATAATATGCTATTTGTGGTGATGGCAATGGTGGGAAAATGGCAATGCTTGTGCAGAACAATCTCTCATTCATGATGTTGTGTCTCAACTGATGTGTCCTTGTCCTCATTATTCAAGCTTGAGGTTCATGGTAATGTGTCTCAGACCCCATATTGAGACTGCAGGGTGTTTGAGAAACAGCAATATGATGAATTGTGTGTGCAGGAAATTACCAGTTTGAGAATTTCTCCTTTGATGAGATTCAAAAATACAGGAGAAAATGTAAAACACCAGTGGCTGTGCAACATTGACTTTGATCCAGATACCACATAATCTGTGACCATCTAAAATGAGACAAAGACTCTACAACCGCTTACCAAATGACAGGTAGCTCTATGGAGCAATAACAAGTGTAGAAGCAATGCGTTATTGTGATTATTTTGACCCAGCTTAAGAGACAAAGCATAACTCAGTCATTTCTAAAATAAAAATGCCAATATTCTTCAGAATCTGATAGGGAAATTGAAGTCATTGACTGATTTCCATCTTTTTGGCCTTGTCCACCTCTGTGTCTTTGCTCTGTAAGGAGTTCTGCAGCAGTTTGCGATATCTGAGGCCACTCTGCTGGCCTGGACCTCCATGGATGGAGAGAGTATGAGCGCGGGCTCCAATCAAGGCAGTGTTGCCCACCTGAGTGAAGCCAACCAGGAGAGCATCACCAGCCGAGGTACATGACTTCAACTCCCAGAATGCACTGAATTCAACCATGTTATGTTATTAAAGTAATACTCCACTGTTTTCCAACCTAATTTCTATTAGGTGAACAATAATTTAGATGCATTTCCTGTTGAATCAAAACATACTTTTAACAGATAACAGGTTCAGTTCTAAGTGTGCTTTATGCCAACTTGTTTTCAACTTTTTTCTAAGTACAAGGAAATGCGTAGTCCATAGTAACAATGTGGCAGATAGAGTGTAGGTTAACCTTATTTCTTTAATGTCTCATAAGGTTTTGCGAATAAGACTTTTTTTTTGCGAATAAGAATTCTTAACCAGCCACAAGCCCATAATACATGTCCATTGACAATGAGGCTTTAGCTCAGAGAGAACTGATTAGATGTAAGAGATTGAATAAGCTTTATCTTGTCTTTTCTCTGCTGGGATTGCTTTCACTTTTTTCATTTTTAACTTATTCAAGCCAAGAGAGTTTCTTGGAGAGCAAGATCATTTTAAAAGAACACGTTGGCAGTGTTTTGGAGGGTGACAAAGGGTTACCATCCTCCACTTGATTTGAAATTCAGCACACACTGGGGCTTGAATAAATGAGTATCCAAAGGTCAGGGACCAGTGGCTCTCTGAGGGTCGAGTACAATTGCAAGAAAGAACTTGAACATTTTACGACTGAGCTAGAATACAGGGCAGGAATGAGGAGTAAAAAGTTCAACACAGAACTATTATCATCTTACTCATGTCAATACATGCATAAAGAGTAATTTCGAAGAAAAACAGCAGCAAGTCGTATTGCGCCAGTCACATATTAAGAGATAAAAGTAAAGGTGTTAACCCATAGTTTACCTGTATAAAATAATTTTTTTCCTTTAATTTGGAGGCATACCACTTGGTGAGCCTGCAATATGAGAAATCTAGTCTAGTGCAGTTTCCCTCATTAACTTTGGCCAGTTAACATTAATATTTTTGTCACATTTGTTGTTTTTTTCACTTTCTATTCTATTAGGTCTATTAGACCTAAAAGTCATCTGATCTGACTGTAGCAGGTGGGGTGGGACCACATACATCAGCCTATTTACTGATTTATGTGTCTACATTGTGCAAAAGATTCATCGTCTCACATGAAAAGCAAGCCAAGCCATCAGAGCTTGTGCTGTAATAATCAGATGGCCATTTGAGGGATTACAGTTTGTGTCCTTCATAGGGAAAAACATTAAAGTTGCCACATCTGGAGTGTAACTTACTTATGTGCATATATTTGCCCCTCAATCTCCTCTTGCAGATGATCCTCCATCATCAGAGACTTTGTACTGTCAGTTTATCACAGAAAACAGCCTGACTCTGCTATCTCTCCAGTCTCTTTCTCTGAATGGGTTTGATTGTGTTTTTATGTGTATTTATGTGTGACACCATTAGGCTGTTTAACTAAGGAACAATTCACAGTAAAAAAAAGCAAAAACTAGAACATTCTATACAGTTATCTGGGAATTTCTACTTTTTGGAGGGTTTGAATATAAGGTTAACTGTCTCTGGAGAGCAGGGGTGGGCAACTTCAGTCCTGGAGTTCCAGATTCCTACACAGTTTGGTGATTTTCCTGCACAAGCACACCTAATTAAACTCATCAGTTAATTACCAGTTTTGGTTGGTGTGCAGAGAAATCAACTAAGTGTGCTGGACTCTGGCCTTCAGTTCTCCACTTCTGCTCTAGAGGTTGACACCTACGTAAAAGGTTTATCATGTCTAAAACGTTCATCCTTCCCTTCAAAACCACATCTGTGTTTACATGGAGAGAGAAAAAGAGAGGGGGAGCAACAGAGAGGGCACTGAAGAAAATGGCCTGAGAGAAAAAACACTGCTCAGCTGGCAGAGTGTGTTTGAGCAGCAGCCACTACGCTGCATTACAAGAGCCATTTTCCTCAGTAAATAAAGCATCTCATTTCTGGCCTGCCTGCGGGGCAAGCAAGCCGAACGCTCATTTTACATTCAGAATGATGACTGCAGGGGGTGGGGGGAGAAAGTGGGATTTGAACTACACAAATAGTATGCTCCAGTATCATTATTCAGTGTTATTGTTATTCAACAATTGGCTCAAATCTATCTCGTTTTTATGGCAGAGTGGAAACTTGAGAGGTTGGGAGGTTTAACAATGCTGTGACTGACTGACTGACTGGCATTATGCTGAAATGTGAAATGACTAAGGCACTTCCAGTCCTTAGTCTCAGAGGATACTGGTGTTTGTTGACATTCATATCAGCGTTCTCCCTTTTGTTTTACCTTCAAAGTGCCTTTGAGAGTTTTTAAATTCTAAGCCCTTAGCACATCTCCAGAAGAGTGTGTTTTAAACCACCAGGCTGAAAACTGTCTGCTGTTAGTGAGACTGAGCCTGCAGTAACATGATGAAACGCCCATGAAACATTTCCACAGCAACTGAGCCTCCTCAAACCTCATCATATCAGAAAGATATATGGTCAGATTATAGCTCTGCAGCGGACTCACTGACAAATATGTAATTGACCTTGACACTAACAACAAAGGTCTATTTAAGCTACATGATCATTATCCTTGTATTGCTCGTTTTCACTCTGACAATTGTCATATCTATGGAGTTGCATAAGCTAAATTATGGAGCTGTTATGAAAAAAGAATTTCTTTTCTCTCTCTCTCAGATCAGATACTGCATCACTCCTCTGCAGAAGTATGGCCTCACACCTACGTTTCCCAGGGCCTCTACTGCCTCTCCTCATCAGATGCCTGGGAACCAATTAGCAATGAGCAGTCGGGTGTGGCCTCCCCCGCCACCGGCTCCTACGTCATGGCAGGTGGGACTTCCTGCGAGGGTGCCTATGATGGAAATGCTGCGGGTCACTACCTGTCGCAGCAGCAACAGCAGCAATTCAACCTCCAGCAACACCAACTACAACAGATACAGCAACTGCAGCAGATACAGCAATACCAACAACAACAAATACTGCAGTATCAGCAACAGCAACAGGTGAGCCAGGGCCACAGCTGCCAGCAGTCACTGGAACAAAGACAATGACAGCAAGCGAGTCGGAAAACCAGCCACTCCTTCAAGTCTCAGCCAAAATCACTGCAGAATCAGTAATCTAGTTAAAAGCCATATCTACTGCTGCAGAATGCTAATGCACGCTTAAAAATAAAGCCTCCTAAATGGTTCTTGGCTTGGACACAGTTCTAGGAGAAACCTTAAAGTGATGTAGAATCTTTACATTATGCAGAGTTTTTTTAAATTTTAAAAAAGATTCTTTAGTGAAACATAAGTGGTCCTTCTATGGGATACTCTTTGCAAGGCTTTATAACCCTTTTTGGTGCTATATAGAACCATTTTTAAAGATTCTTTTAAAGAACCATGTACATCAGGGTTTCCATCATAGAGAAGAACAATTTAACCATACTAAGAACCATTTATGTTTTTTTTTTATTTATGAGTTGTTATGATTCCATATATAACTACTTTTTCTTTTTTAAACGTGCTGTGCTGCCCAACTAGAAACCACTAGAAAGTAACCCTAACCCCACCCAATAAGAGAACACAGTCTTATTCTATTTATAACTTATGCATATACAAATATGCACCCCCAAGACAGAAGTTTAACCATCCCTGTTCTATGGCATTGCTCCAAAGAACTCTTTATAGTACCTTTATTTTTAAGAGCGTCGTAGCAAGGCTGGCTTTTTTCATACCAATTTTCCTCTTTTCCCAGTTATTGGAACAGAGACTACAGAGTGCCACTCAGTCTTTACAAGCCACACCCAACAGCACCATCCACAGTCTACCTCCACTCACTCACCCGCCATTGGTGGACCTGTGGGGTGCAGGGCATACAGAGACCTATCAAGCCGACGTGGGTGGTTATATAGGTGTGGCAGCAGCAATGGAGGGAAGTCTGACGGCCCCCTCAGAGGATGTGGGAACAGAACACTCACCTTTACTGGAGGCTCAGGAGGAGGAAGAGGTCAAGGTGAGGTCAAGAAGGTCTTAATTAGTAAACCTGTCACTGAATGTAAGTGCTTTCTAGATGGCCAGTTCACCAATCACAAATGAGTCAGCAGCTACCAGTCAAAATTAATTTAGGAGACAAGACTGTTACAAGATAAAATGTCCTTAGTCATTATGGTGCTGGGAAAACATGAATTCGAGGCTTTGCTATTCAGTAGTGAAATTGCAAAAGAAGGCAGACACACTCACAAATGCATGAAGACTAATTGATTTTTCTCTCTCTCGCCTCAGGAGGAGGAGGTCACGTTATGCATGGAACCAGAACCAGTGACTTTAATTCCTTCCCCAGCTGCACAGAGGGAGGAAGTGACCTCAGTAGGAGGAAGCAGTCCAGGACAGGCCCCTGGGGAACCAATCACAGAGTGGAAATCTTCTGATGTCACACCACCTGTTAATGAAATGCTGGAGGAAAAAGAGGAGGAGTCAGAATCCTCATCGGTCAGTGCCACAGCAACCAAATGAGTGTTAGGAGCAAGACAAAAACTGATTTTAATGGACATTTAAAGCTACATATTCAGCTATTTGAATTAATATGTCACTTTTCAGGTATCAAAACCTTTGTGATGGAACTCTTCAAATACAAAAAGGAAAAAAGGACTGATTTTTTTTGAAGGAAGCCTTATACTTCTGAAGAGGAGGACAAGATAAGGGAGAGTGAGAGAGCAGAAAGATACACACAAAGGATTCAGAGAGATGAGTAAAGTACAGACAAAAAAGTGGTTAAATACATGCATGCTACTTACATGAATGGTACATATCACTAAGAACCATAAATAACACACCATAATAACAAAACATCAAAACATTTGATACATCTAGAACACAAAATTATTTAAAAACTTTTGATAAACCACAAAAAGAAAATACAGATAATACATGTATAGTATAACAATTCATCTCTGAGACAACACTGCATTTATCCAACCAGGTGTTGTGTTTACGATTAAATCTCCTGCCACAGCAAACTAACACTATTAAATTCAGCATCACTTAAAGGAACGGACTTAAACAGCAGTGGAACAAGATTCGCTTTTCCCTCCTAAGTGGGCTGTTTGCCACTTTAAATTTTTCTATTCACCTACACACATGCTTGTGAAGTACAATATTAAAGTCTTTCCTTATGACATATTACCAAAATTACCAGAATACTGTATACTGCTACTATACAGTATACTACCAGTAGGCATATTTGCACATTACCTATAAAACCTACACCGACTATATGATTTCTAAAATCCTTGAGTTTAAAACCCACTGGTTAACTATTCCACCACCATTTGTTTGTCTCCACAAAGTTATTTGAGGATGGATGTTAGCACATCATTTTGAGATTAATCTGTACCATCTCACAGTCAGGTGGGTCCATTCGATGGTTTTTAAAAACTTCTATGACCAGCACCACATGCTACAAAGGTCATGTGATCCAGATCAAAAGATAATTTGAATGTTTTTTTTTTCCGAGATGCATTTCAAAATGAGGTGCTACACCCTCACATACTCATCAATCATTTTGGTAATGCTTTTTACAGCCTCATGACAAGGATGTGAGGTACAATTGCACTCATTTCACATACAGCTGTAGTTGGTTCTGTATGGGAAATGATCACAGGGCCACTCAAAGTTGAGGCCTGGGTCACATGTATTACTATGTTCTGAACATTTCAGGGAAGACTATTCACTTAAAGTGAGTTACATCAGTTTAGGAAATATCAGTAAGAGTTAACACAAAAACACGTACAAACACACACACAGACACACACATACAGAGTTCTGTGCTGCAGTGGATTGTATCATAGCGTGCTTCCTTCTCTGTGTGTCCCCTTTGGCATGCATGCTATTTGTCAGTGTACTATGGAGTCCTATACAGCACTGTATAGATAATTGCACTGAACTTTACTACTCTGAGCTGGGCACTGATACAAGCTCACTTGAATTCTAAGAGTTTTAGGGCTTTGATTGGCTGATTGATTAAGGGACACAGAGTTGCACAGTCTTTGCATACTCTTTGCACTCTCACTGGTAGGAAGAGTCAAAAACAGATGCCTTCTGGACTCTGTTATCACCCTGGGGGTGGGAGTGGGCGACTACATTTCCCAGAATGCACCTTTACAAGACAACAAAGGCTGATTTTTCCTGTGGAGTTTAAATGATGTTGCTTGGTTTGTTTGTTTGCACTTTGGTTCGGTAACTACAAAAATGAAAGTTCAGCCAGTCATATAAGTCTGAATGGATCACAGTATGTTACAACAAGCAAGTGCACAAGTGAAAAGGGTGGAAAATGCTGCACAAAAAGCGGGGAAAGAAAGAAAAACAGAAAACAAGTTTCAGAGTTCAGGCTAAAGCTGAATTTCCAAGGCCTTGTCAGATACATGTAAATACTGTTAACACTCTTCAGGATCATAACTCAGTTCATTTATTTTTATACTATGACGTGTCTTGATTTCTGCAACACAACTCTTTTATTCTGTTCACTGGCGGATGTTTAAAATCAAAACCTGCATTGTACACAACAGACAGAAGAAGACAGGAGAGAGATCAGCATGTGTAAATATAACAGCATTAACAGAAATATGATGGAAAATATTCCAAATGGATGAGGCGTCGGAATTTATTGAGGAATGTGACCTCACGAAGAACTCAGGCCAATCAGAACCGAACTGGTGTCTTCCTGTTTGTCATGGTTACTGGTTACCATAGTTGCTGTGATCAGACAAACTCTGTGCTGAGTGACTTTCTGGCTGCAGACAAGCTGAGCTGAGCTGGCTGAGCCGGAACGTGATGTATTCCAAAGCCGAAGCAGTTGTCTAGTGTAGAGACACAGAGGTTTTCTCCACCACTCGTTGTTGTGATGCTGTGCATGTTTCACCAAGGAAAAAAATGACAATTATGATCAGGACAGCCGGTTATCCTGGATGTTTGTTTCTTCGGAGAACACCTCAATTCACCCTTTGATGATTGTGTGCAAGCTGAATACAATAAGATCAAAATGAGGTTTCTTGACTTGAATGACTTTATTTATTGATTGATTATTTATGCAATGCTGGGACAACGTTTATTTTTCTACAGAATTGTGAGCCCTCCCCCCTAGTATAGAATGGGTCACATGTCGTTTTGCTGAGCTTCTGAAGAAGGCATGTAGACTGGAAACAGTGGAAGGAATGCGTGTGCATCCGTGTGGCAATTCACTCAAGCTTCTGTTCACAAAGCCTTCACGATAGTGTCTTTCTAAACATCACCTAGAACCCTTTGTAATCGCCTGTCTTCTGTCATTACATAGAGGTGCAAACATTAAACTGATCTGATAGTTACTCATGAGAACAGCGAAATACGTGTTGTGCATTTAGCGGTTTTAAAGCTTTCATCATTGTCATAACTGGTTGTAAAGCTCTTATGAAGAGCTCTGAGCTTCCACTGCTTTTTGCCCAGTCTTAGTGCCAGGCTGAAGGGAGCGCACAGTAATGGATATGTGCTCATTTATTTATTTAAGAATTATTGGGACTTAACTTTTCAGCCTGTATAGTACTTATGATTTAGTAATTTAGGCATGTTTCCGTTGAAATGACATCACTCTGTCTGTGTGCAGTGGCTCTGGTTTCCTACTGGTTGATTAGCTCTTGATTCACTGAAAATACGTCCTTTGCTGCATTGAGGTTTTCTCAGTTCAAAATAGATATATGGTATTTCTATCACTAAGAAACAAAGAAAGACATCTCAGCCATCAGACTTCTAGACCTTCTCAAAATTGATAGATTTCATTCTCGGCATGTGGTAGATCATTTTTGGTGAAAATTTTTTATATTATAAACTAATGGGGGAAGAACGGGGCCCTTGGATAAATATTTTTAAATTAGTCGAGGCTCTAGGCTTTTGAGTAGTGCAACCATCTACAGTGTAAAAAATCATCTACATCTAGTCAATATATCTAATATTTCTTATTTGTTTGTTGTTAGCATATTAATCTAAGATAATTTAACATTTCTCGATATTTGTACTTGTGTAGGATATTAAGTGAAATCATCTCACTATATTGCCAATAATTTTGCTTGTTTTAAGAAGTAAGGCTATAAACAAGCAACATGATCTGCCAATACAGTGAGAAAATTTGATTCAGAGAACTCAGATGTAATGAGTAATGAGTTTACTTTTTTCCAGGGAGTAATAAGTAACGTAATTCCAGTACATTTTTAAAGAAGTCATTAGTAGCTTGTAATGCATTGTTTTTTTATGCAACTACCCCAACACTGGAGCTGTCTATACTAACATTAACACTAGTGTTATGTATGGTCTACTGAGCCTGAGCAGCACTCTGTTCTGACTAAAAAAGTTAGCTTTGTGTAGTGACAAATATTTTACTTTCTTTCATCTTTTTTTATTAATTTTTTTGCTGCATCTGGATTATTTTATTTTCTCAACAGCCAGAAAATCACAACAAAGGACCTCCTTTCCATAATAAAGGTTATTGCCTAATCGGCCTATAATATGGTCGAACTGCAGCCGGGGCAATGCTGTTTTTAGGGCGTTCCTGTCTGTCTGTCTTCACACAGTTGTGTCATCACGTAACAACATACATTATAGTACATTTTAACCATAAACGGGGCGTGAGGTTGCATTCAAATGACTGATAAAATGACTACATTGACAACTAAAAGCTATTTTTGAAATGTATATACATTTCAGAATAGGTTATTTTACATTAACAAGTACAGAACATGTCACATTTGTATTAAAGTGCACACATTTTAAAAAATAGAACATGGGCCACAATAGCCCACCTGAGCCTATGTTATCTGCCTGCATCCTGTAGACATGGGGCTGATTTTACGCTTCCTCTGTACAGATATAAGCCCCAGGGTCATGGTCAATTCCATCACAGTTCATTCAGTTCAGATCAGTTTTAGTTCAGCCTCTAAAGCATACAAGCAAAATGAGGATGTTATCAGTCATCATCCCGTCACAGATCAATGGCATATTATCTAATTTTTTTTTTTAATATGCCATCAAGAGCTAATTAAGCCGATCCACCAAAATGAAAGGCCACGTCCTTATAACCAGAGGAGTAATGTCATTTCTGGTTAGGTACTTTATTGCTTTATATGTAAGATAAGAAAAATGAATGAATAAATGAATAATGAGAAGCCAAGTGTATTTCTTTGGATATTATTATTATTATTATTTGTGTTTACAGATTGTTGAATTGATTTCTAATCAATTTTTTGTATGATTCAACTGCCATCTTTCAATACAATACAATGTTGGCATGACTCTGTAAACTTCTCTGTTCTGCCTTTCTCTCTCTCTCTTTCTCTGTTTCTCAGCATCTGTCTCTCTAACCCTGTGTTGTTTCCTTTTGCTGGAAGAATCAAAACAAAAAGTCATTATCATAAATTTTTCAAAAACTATGTAAAGGTTCAGACATTTGTAATAGATGTGATCCGAATGTGAGCTATATAGAAAGAAGTAAATACATTTGGGAATGGACTGAGTACAATAACTGTAAGTGGGAATTTGATCTGTGATGCCTATATCTATGCATGCTTGTCTGAAGGGTCTAATGACATGGTTCTTCCAATGTGCTTTCACCCTCCCTCCCTCCCTCTCTCTCTCCCTCCCTCCCTCTCTCTCTCCCTCCCTCTCTCTCTCTCTCCCTCCCTCTCTCTTTCTCTCTCTCTCTCTCTCTCTCTCTCTCTCTCACGAAAAAAAAAACCCTCCCCAACCATAGACAAATACCCTCCTCCTGTCCTACAACCCTTCCTAGGTGACAATAATGAAGAACAAACAAATAAACAAAGAAGAAATGATGCTTTATTGTGCATAATTCTTCTGTAATGAAAAAAGGTTTTCTTTTGATTTGAAATGACAGCAGGTCTGTGAGGTAATAACCTTGTTAACAACAACAAAAAAACAGACATCAGTAATTACATTACAATAACAGTCTTAACCATAATTAAACATTGTGATAACAGACACATAATGCTATAGCTTTAATTATTTAGAAAACAATTTAGTGAATCATTCTGGTAACTAAGGTGTTTAGTCTGCTGATTAGATCTGAAGTTCAGCACCTGCTTCTCAATAACTGCTGAAAAGCAGTGCAGGTTCTGCCGGCAGACCGAGATTAGGCTCTACTCAGTATCCTGAGAGAACAGATGTAGAGAAACATAGCCATGAGAGCAAGGGCACTGTGTAGAAAATCTCAGAAAACAACTACACATGGTATACCTTTCTAGCACATCTGCAGCCTAAACTCAGCTCAGACTGAACTCAACATCCCAGAATGCACCGTGCTATAAGTCGCCTCCCTCCAGAGGCCTGAGTTTGTGGAAGATAAAAACAGCAGTCCTAAATAGGCTCTTCATCACTCTCTCTCTCTTCACTTGTCTCTCGTTTGGGCTCAGGATGGAGGGATGACAGAGGTATGGAAGGAGAGGAGCGGGTGGGAGGCGATGGCAGCTGGCCCTCGGAGGAACTGCCTGCATCTTTGCTGTTGTTGCCTGTGGTGACTTTGCACTCTGTTTCTTTGGCCGGGGCCAATCTGGACTCTGTGTCATCTTTCACATCCATCTTTCCTCCTTCACTCCACAGCTCCCTGTCTCGAGTGGGTGAAGAGGGCGCAGAAGGTGTGTGGGGGCGCTTTTTGGCTTTGCGATTAGCATCTCTGAAACTGGCCAGAGGGGGGCGCAGTCGCACACCGCTGCGAGTCGAACCCTCAATTGCCTTCTGGAGCTGAGAGAGAGAGAAGTTACCCTCACTTATACACTGACTGGCCACTTCATTAAGTACACCTCCTTGTTTCTACACTCGGCCATTTTATCTGCTCCACTGACAAATGCACTTTGTACTTCTACAATAACAGACTGTAGTCCATCTGCTTTGGTTAGCTCCCTTTTATCCTGTTTACAATGGTAAGGACCCCAACAGAACCACCCCAGAACAGGTATTATTTGGGTGGTGGATCATTCAGCAGCAATGTTTAAAAACTCCCAGCATATATATATATTTTTCAAATGTGTCAAATTGAAATCAGGTGCACTAGAGAATATGTTCGAAGAACCCGTCTTATTCAAAGATGTCTGGTCTGGTTTCCTCTTTGTTATTGGAGTTTGGGTTATCATCATGCCTAGATCAAAACAGCTCTCTAAAGCCTTCAGAAAGAAGGTTGTAGATGCCTATTAGTCTGGGAAGGAGTTTAAGAAAATATTCAAAATATTAGAAATCAATCATTCCACTGTCCAGAAGATCATCTACAAGTAGAGAATATTTAAATACACTGCCAACATGTTCAGGCAAATTTTGCTGACTGAAAAACGCTATAATAAGTCTTTAAGAGACCCCAAATTTTATCACAGGATCTGCAAGAAGTGGGCAAATTTCTTCCAGCAGATGCCAGAAACTGGTAGACAGTTATAGGAAACCCCTATGTAAAGATGTTTCTGTCAAAAGGGGCAATACCAGTTACTGAAGCCAGGGGTGTACTTACTTTTTAACAGAAAAAAGACATCTCAGATAATTTATTTTAAAATAATTGATTGAAAAGACAAATTTCCTTTGTAATTTGTTCTATTACATAACATTTATCAGTGCAAACTGGTCAGCTGATGACCAAATACTGATATGCCCACATATGTCAAAAAAAATGTCATTACTTTTTTATATGACTGTATAGGGTAAATGGACAAAGATAGAAGGTAGGTGTACTTAATGTAGTGGTTGGTCAGTGTATGTGTACACAAACATACAGTATGAATTCAAAATACTCAGTCAAATCACTAAAAAAACATCAAACTTAAAATTACATAAACTACAAACAAGCATGTCTCCAAAAGTAAGAAAAGAGACTAAGACAGATGTGAAAGACATGAAAGAGACTCACCTCTTTAAGGGCAACAACCCCCACTAGTTTACCTATGCTGGTGACATACGCATGACTAAGACCCAACAGAGAAAAGAGAGTATGTGTCTGAAAGAGAGAGAGAGAGAGAGAGAGAGAGAGAGAGAGAGAGAGAGAGAGAGAGAGAGAGAGAGAATACAAATAAAATATTACAAAAACACTGAATAAAGGGGACCTCTCACTCTGTACATTTTGGTATCTTCCCTCGTCTAGAGTACCTGATTCAACTAATTTTCTAGTTAACAGGCCTTTCGTGTGCTAAGTCAGGTGTGTTAGAGGAGGGAAAACAGAAAAATGTGTAGAGAATGCTTCGATAGACAATAAGACAGGGTTACATGACCTACAAGACTAACATCTTCTGTTACTTTTACTATCTTTAAAGGGCAGTTCCTTAGAATTCCCAAAAATCTGATGAAATGAAAACAAAATCATTCAGAGTGCTGTGATGTGAAATGATTCACTGCAGAGAAACATAAAGACTAAGATCCCATTTAATAACCTAGAAGCATTAAACTCTTCAGATGTCAGGTTCCTGTCACCACCATTGTATTCTGACAAGGCAAGTTTCTGTAAAATGGAATATTTCACATCAAAACACTCTGAATTTGGAAAGTCGATGAAATTACCGTTGAACTATATGTATTGGTTTTGGCATTATATATGCTTGTAAATATTTGTATTTCAGCCTGCAACACTGAGTGGTTCAGAAGACAACAGCTACCTTATGCAGTGATGTTCGTTCCACCAGCTGAAATGGGGAGGGATCAATGCGAATCTGATCAATGTCAATAGGCTTATCCATCTCACCCTCCTCCCAAGCTTTGATCTGCACAGGCCAATCAGAAGTGGCATCAGTGGTGATATCACAATAACTGGTTGTAATATGCAGAAAGCAGATAAAGTTGTTTAGAGTATTTAAGCTGAATTCAACTTCAGTCTGGTTACCTCGTCTGGAGTCATGTTTTCTGTTAGAGGAGGGGGCAAGGGGTCCTATGGAAAAATCCAGTGAAAAGATGTTAGGTTTTATGGGGAGAAGGAGAGAGAAATAGAGAGAGAGAGAAAAAATGCACATTTGTAGGGTTGCTTCATAATTCACACTAAAAATAAGCACTTCAATTTTTCATTCTGCTTTGAAGCTATAAGTATTCTGTACAGAGTGCCTGATGCCATCTGCTGGTATGAACTGCTTACTCAGAGAAATGGTGCTCCAGTGGCCTAGAAATGCTGCTAACGCCAAAATATGGCAGAGGTGGTGCTGAATATGCAGCAAAAGAAAGTAGGGGAATTTGTCTCCACCTAGTGTTAGCACAGAAGGCCATAGTGATCACTTCAAGCAAATGAAGGAAAAGTATGCAGCCGAAGAAAAAGTCGTCCAAAATAGGCCACCGCTTGATGGCACTACCACTTGATGGCACCAGCGTCCCAGATGCTATCATCCTTTAAAGGGTTTTACTCAGAGCTGTTTGTAACCAGGCCAATTATGCAGTCATTTTGCTGACACAGCTTTACTTCCCTTATTAATCCTTTACTTGCATGTATGACACCCACCTGTGACTCTGCCTGCTCTGAAGAGGACGAGGTGGAGAACAGGCGACGAAGGGCACTCCTCATGGACTTTAGGGTACCTATGATGATTCACAGCATCAGTCCAGTCTTTTTTTTTGTTAACGTCTTAGGCTCTAAAGAACCCCAGTTTCTCCTGACCACTCTATACGACTCAGACTGGTGTAGCATAGGTAAGAATAACATGCTTCTGCATGATGATCAGTCAGACCAGTCAGACTAGTATAATGTCAACACTTACGAGAAGGAAAAAGCCAGCAGTGCTTTTGGAAGTAAGTACTACTGACTGGTTTGATTATTTGGAAGAATCTTTGGCACATGTGTAACCATGTAACTGGCTGCTGTTTCTTTTTCCTCATAAATATAATAACTCTGTAAATGAGCAATATTAAAATCCCTGGTCTTGAGCCAAACTCACCAGATGCTTTGTGATTGGTGGAGTCCTCTTCAGATTTAGAAAAGGCCAATGGGCCATTCGGCTCCTCAGAGACTGTATTACTCTGCAAATCATTTTTAAATCAGAACAAAAAAAAAAATCAGTTAATTCTCATCATAGATCATAACTCATTTGAAGCAAAGATGCCTGCACAAAGAAGATGAAAACACATCTTACATATCCTGATCTACATGAAAGCCTTCATGTCAAAACCTTGCAACTCCATTTTTATTAAACATTCTACATTAATGTTCATTACATTTTATAAAGGTTTTTTTTTCTGTAAAGTTACCATTTTGGAGATAGGAAGTTTTCTTATGACAAAGAAAATGTACTTAATTTATAGTTAGTAACTGCAGACTGTAAGTAGAAGG